CGTGGGCCTTGCTCACATCTGGCTTACGTTACGCACACAAGGTACATGTCTTCTGAGGGCCTTAGCCTTCAGCTCATATTTCCAATATAGGCTGCAACAACAAATTAGGACTTGGAGAATCACACTGGTTTCTGAGGGCAGTTTTGCTTTTCAAAACAAACTAGCAGACATTTTTTGTTAAAGGCTAATATCTGGACTGGAATTTTAATTCAGCTAGCTTTACAATTTTTTTTTCCAGTCCCCCCCCCGTGCTAATTTTATAGCCCTGAGTCAAACATAATCACGGCAGTAATGATCTGTCCTTGTTAGTGTCATAACTGCACTTTCCCGTCCTCAGTTGGTTTTACTTAATGACAGCATTCATTAAATCTGTCGAATAGCACTTTCCAAAAAAAAAAAAAATGTGTGATGCCATTTTGCTGGAGAACAAAACCACTGCAATCAGCCAGGCAGGGAGCAGTGGAAGCAGTGCATGTCGCACACTGGCACCTCGTTCCAGCAGGAAATCTACTGTAGGTGCCTGGAAATGTTTTTGCGTTTAGCGGAGGGCTCTGCGACAGCCGGGGTCCCTCTCTCCTTCCCTCCCGTGAGCAGAGCAGTTGTAGGGGCTCAGACCGGCTGCCTCTAGTTGTGTGTTTTTTTTTGTTTTACAGACCTCTCCCCCGAGCATTCATGGAAGCTATAATGTCATGCAATTGTGACTATATTATTTTTGTATGAATCCCTGAAAGTGATGTAACAGGAAAGAGGAAAGCAGCACCCTCCCCACCGAGGAGCAGGGGTCAGATTCCAGCTGGCAGATTCCCAGACTGACTTAAGCTTTTCTCCATTGCTCTCTTCCCCTCTCCTCTCCTTCGGCGGTGAGTCACGTCCGGCGCGGAAAAGGGCCGCGCTTCCCGCTTGCGTATCTCCCAGGTACTGACGTATCGGGGCCGAGCGCATCCACGTGCCGCCTCATCTGCAGGGGCGTCCCGTGGAAATCTCCTGCTGACGGCTTCAAAGACGGACGTGATCCCCTGGCTGATTTCATTCTCATGTTTTGCTCTTTATATTTCTCGTACCCGAGACCGCAGTCCTTAATGGTCTGCCCATTTAAGGTTTTTGATTTATACATGCGAAATGTCCGCTGTAGGAATGACCCCCCCCTCCTCTTTCAGAGCAGCTTGCATGGTCAATTTTTTTTTATCAGTTTTAACAGCTGGATAAATGACTCTAGGGAAGAGTCCAGCTTTGTCATGGATACGAGCACATGCTCCTTTGTAGGATAAGGGCCTGCAAAAATACCTTGGTAAAGATTTGGGCTGAGAACGCTGGTCTTTTTAAATGTACAGATCATAAATTCACCCCGTCCAGCCTGTAAAGGGACCTCACTCAAGGGTGATTTCCCCACCACGCACTGCGGTGCCAGGTCTGGCCTCGTCATCTGCGAACATTAGCCAGCTTCTCATACAGACAACGGACAGCCGAGCGTCACGGGATCACCTTCAGACCGCCTCACGTGCCGGTCCCGACCCCCTGCCGGTCCTCACTTCCCGGAGTCGAACATCTATATTGATCACTGTCAATACCCCTTAAATGTATCCGTCAGGCTCTTCTCTGTGGTTTTATCCAAAAGTACAGCAGGCTCCGGAGTTTCCGCTGTACCAGAAGGCATGGCACATCTCCAGCTCACATCGGTCGATGTCTTATCTGACACGACGTAATAAAAAAAATAATTAATTCCGCACCGCATGCGGTGAAACTCCTGTTTCCTGTTTTCGTAATCAAACACGTTTGGATACCGTGATGTTTTCCCTGAATTACAGAAATCCCACTGGGCACTTTGGGGCCCGACTATGGGCAGAAATGGGAGATGTAACACTGAAAGAATGAAGGAGACTCAGTTTCCCATGTTACTGTGTTTGTTACATTGTTACATTTTTTTCTGTGAGTATCTGTGAGTATTTTGTGTGTGTGTTTTTTGGGCGGTGTTGTGTCTGTTTCTCGTTGGGTATCTGTGTACACCCTCCTGTATGATCCTGTGAAATCCATTTTGTTCTCCATTTTTGCATTCAGTTTTTCTTACCCGAGTCAGTCACCTTGATTTCACATTTGTAGTTTTAGGACTTAGAATATAATATATGGTTGCGTAACCTGGTAACTGCCCAGGTATTGTTTTTTTGAACTGGAGTAGTTCTGGCTGAGTGAGGGATGATATAACCAAGTGCTGGCCGCTATATCTCAATGGGGGGTCCTTACGAGGCAGAAATGTAAAGCGCAATGAGACAATGTAATGTTGTGATAATGCGCTATATAAATAAAATTGAATTGAATTGAATTGAATTGAATTGAATTGAATATCTCACTGTGTGCTGTCAGCGGGGGTGTTGGAGGGGCAGATTCACGAGGCCCCAAAAATGTCCTGACAAGGCCCCCCCACTTGGCAAAGGCTACCAAGGGGGCCATCTCTCCCCCCAGCTTGCCAAAATCTATTGAGAGGGACTCCTGCTAACCCACCTCCCCACTTGGCAGAATCTTCTACCGGGACCCAGAATCACTACCTACCCCCCGGCTGCCGGTATTAAGCTAACTGTCAGTTTAGCTGTGTGCGGGTGAGATTTGTCATTCAGATGATGGATGGCAGTGGAAGGCCAGCTGAAAAGGACTCTGTTTCAGACTCATGTATAATTGTTTATCTGCTCTTGTAGCTCTGGTTGTGTCTGTTGATGGCTGGGAGTCCCTCAGCACTGGAACACAGTTGGCCTCCTTCCACTGCAGGAAGGAAGTGGTAAGTCAGCCAGGCTGTCTGGGCCAGCCACTGCAGCAGCTCCTCCTACAGGTCTGTCAGGCACCTGCGGGCTGATGATAGCTAGTAGTACGGAAGATACCACTCCACTATGGTGGTGGGGGGGATTGTATTGGCAGAGGCCACATGAATCTGAGCGGGTGTGGAGGTGAGGAGGTTTCAGCCTGATGCAGAATTGAAGGAAATTATTCACGTTTTTTTGAAATCTCATTTTATACAGAGAACTTAAAGAATGATTTTGTCTCACTTTTGCAGGTGTGTGTATTTATTACTTTTAAAATATACAGACACCTACAGTGAAATTTTTGTGAGCCTCATTTGTCTTTGTATCTCCCTCTGTAGTTTTCCTCATTTGTGGATATCACAGAGTGGCTTAATAGGACACGGATATTATCTTCTAGACTGTTCTTTATCCCTGTGTTTTGTTTTTCTTAATGATTGCCTCTAGCAAACATTTACTTGCATGGTTTTTATCCGAAAAGTATAAGTGACATGTAAATATGAGTTTTGAATCCCAGGGAAAGTGTGCCAAACTTTTAAACTTAACTCCTGACTCTGTTCCAGAATCTCTTTTGCATTTTCTCTTTAATTGCTCTCATCTGTCTGTGCTCAGTGTAAATGTGCTAATCAGGACATAGCGTGTCTCCTCGGGGTTAATCTGTGGGGATCCATTTCCGTGGGTGAATTAATGCAATTTTCCAGCCATTCGGAATCCTTCAGCTTATCCTACAGATAAATGGTTATGGATGAATCCTTATCATGAATCATCTGAAATGGCATAGGGTAATGGTTAGTGTGTGATATACATCAGAAACCTTAAGTGCTCTACCCAATAAATCCGAAACTGGAATTCAAATCCTGCCGGGTATAGAATCTTCACTTAACCTTGGATGGGATCCAAGGCTGTTTAAATCAACTTGCCCATCATACTTAATGTGTCCAGTAAAAGCTTGACCAATGATGTGAGAAGATTTATCAGTGTGGCGGATTGATTAAAACTGCTGGTATGTGTTAATGTACAAAGTTTCATAAATCACGTTTTATGCATTATGAAGCTTCCCTTTACCTTTGCCATTCTGTGAAGCAGGGGCTGCTCCCCAGAGGCTCTGGCAGCTGGGTAACCATGTGCTTGGCGTGCTTTTTGTCTGGCAGAACGTACCACGTCGTTCTGCCTCGGTTACCGGGAGCCCGGCTGGCTCCGAGGCTCCGGATGCTCTTTCAGTGCCCAGGGCGGCCCGTGCAGCCATGCTGGGAGAGTGGGGAGCACACGGATTCAGACCGGAGCCCTGGATAGCTGGGTATCTCCCCAGCATATGGAGAACCCCCCCCCCACACACACACACACACACACACACACAGACAGTGGTATGCTTCCAAGCCCGTGTCCTCGTCTAGAGGTTATTCCTGAACTCTGTGTTCCCCGAACCGCCGTTATGGAACGTTGGCCCCCCTCCCCCCCCGGCCCGGGATCCTGATGGGCAGGGCAGCTGCTGGGAGAGTGTGTTTCAGTGTTTTTGTGAAGCGAGCATCAGGGGACCCCAGCGCGGGCCGCACACAGCTGTTCTTCTTCACGAACTTCTCGGTGGACATTCTCACTCAGGCGAACAATAGCACCTACGGTAAGGCTTTCTGTGAAAGATCGTCCCACAGGACTGTCAATGTTTGGAGGCCAAGCCTGATCGTGTCAGTTGTATTTCCTTATTCGTTTGACTATTTAGAGTGCCGTTTCGTCACAGACTACAGTTTCTGGGGCGTCTTCATTGCCTTCGATCTCCACTGGTTATATATCGCACCATCAAACACTTTCAAAGAGCAATAAAGTGAGGAACATTAAAATGGAGGAATCTGTCTCACAGGCTTATATTGCACTTGGTCAGGCCATCTAGGTTTTACTGCTGCGATGACACTGATACTTATTAGACTGTAATAGTTATAGGGGACTTTGGTCACCATTGAGAAATTACCTGTGAGCCCCAGAATCGCTCTGGTTGTCTGAGAGAAGGCAGCGAGAACGTGTTCCTAAATCTTACTCTTGGAGCTCAGTTTAGGGACCTGGCCAACAATTTTTTCTCAGATCCGTGTCCAAACGCACTGCACACCCTTATGGGTGATAACATGTTAAACACAGAAGGCAAAGATACAGATTCAGAATCGAGGACCTTAAACATGGGATGGTCTATAGTTTTGGCCTCAGAAAATATACACAATCTTTTTTTTTGTTTTGTTTTTTTTTAATGGAAACAATACTCTAGTAGTTTTCTATATCTTAATTCCTATCCTGTCATCATTCATAAATGTATAAACATAGCAGAATGGACATCAGTATAACATTGTCTGTCTGCATGAAACCCAATAAGGTGTTGGAGGTTCTTCTTGGTTTTCCTTACAGTGGCATGAAATGTCCTTCTTAAATATCAATAGAAGATGATGCACAGTGTTAAGTGTTCGAGGAAAAGACATACGCATGATTAGACTGGATAGAGCGAGTACATCAGTTTTTCTTTGGAGGTTAACAAGGACAGTAGACTAGGTGCAGCCTAAACTTGGATTATTAAGCATTAATGTTCAAATAAGGCAGTTAGAATGCGGAAGACCTTCAATGGTGTGCGTGCTTTGAAATGTCCCCTTTCTCCTACACGCGTCCTCCCCAGTGTGGACAGAAAGTGAAGGGCTTCAGCAGAGAGGCCTCCGCTCGCGGGTGCCGTCAGCACGCGGACATCGTCCTTCACGTCCCAGAGGCTTCGCTACGGCTGGTGGACACACGAGCGCCTCTCCGCGAGTCACCTCCACCTCGAGCGCACAGCTTAGGAGTTCTTCTCCAGCAGCTTTACCGTGACCGTCTTGAGCTCTGAGTACTCCCGCAGACTGTACTTCCCCCTGCAAACACACACCGCACTCTCACTGTCTCCTTCCACTTGTGGCCTGCTCTCTGACGTACGGCGTGGAACAACATAAACCCAGGAACGACTGTGTCATCCTGGGGACATCTTTCTGTTAAGCTAAGCGTGTGAGAAGGGACATTGCGTCTGTGTCAGATAATAATAATGAACGATAATGGAATGGAAATGTGTTAGACAAGTCAGGCTGCTCTTTTCAATAATTTGACAGAAACTCCTTCACTGCTGAGGTAGCAGTTCACAGTCACCTTTATAGGAGGCTGCACCGTGCTAATGTGTTGCTCTGACTTTAAATCCTTAGCATTCTTACAACTTACAGTTCTCTTCCATTGCCAGACATCTTAAATCCACCGAACGGACACTGGGTGCCAAGAGCGTTATAACAGTTGATCCTGCAAAAAAGAAAAGAAGACAATTATTTAGTTCATTAGTCATAATTCAAGTTACAGTATTTCTTATCTTTGATATAGTGCTCTGGTCTCAATGCCAAAATGCTTTTTTACTTTTAAAAATTTGCTTATATTGTAGAAAATTATAATGACTGAAGATATTATCCCCTTGCAGAAATCTGAAAGGGCTGTGAATCAAAATTACATTATGATTTCTTTTCAGTTAAAGTAGTTAAAATAGCTTTAAAAAACCATTGCACCAGCACTATGGCCATTTGCCAATAATGGTGATGCAGGGTCTCAAAGCAGGGTTCCCCCGGTGCTCAAAGCAGGGTTCCCCCGGTGCTCAAAGCAGGGTTCCCCCGGTGCTCAAAGCAGGGTTCCCCCGGTGCTCAAAGCAGGGTTCCCCCGGTGCTCAAAGCTCCTACCAGACAGTTCCAGCCTGTATGGCCGAGGACAGAGTCATGGCTCTGCTGATGTCCTTCGTGAACACGCCCGCAGTCAGCCCGTAGTCAGAGTTGTTGGCTCTTTCGATCACCTCCTCAATAGTTTTGAACTTCATGATCTGCTGCACCGGACCAAAGATCTGTAGCACAGAGTATGAAGTGGTTACATGATCAAAGTACTTAAGAGTTACTTCAATAATACAGTCGCAAAGCATTGAAGATACAATAGAGGGGTTAGATGGATCAGGCTATTCGGTGTGATAACAATATAGTGAGATTAAAGGAAATATGAAGGGGGTGTTTCCATGGTGTGGGGGCGGGAACTCATTTGGGGAGGGGTAGGGATGCTTTGTTCATGTTGTACATGATTATGAGGGTAAATATCACATTTTGTGCTGTCCAAGTACTTTTTTAATTTGTATACGACTTGGTATCATCTCAACCTCTCCAGTGCCGCTGAGCTGAAGCTCACAGACAGCATAGTCACCTAAGCCTAACCCTAAGCCTAACCCTAAGCCTAACCCTAAGCCTAACCCTAAGCCTTACCTCCTCCTTGGCGACGCGCATGTCGTCGCAGACATTGGAGAACACGGTCGGCTCGATGTAGAAGCCCTTCACCCCCAGGGCTTTCCCTCCGCACTCCAGCTTGGCCCCCTCGCTGATGCCGCTCTGGATCAGCTCCAGGACGCGGCTCTGGTGCTCCAGACTGATCTGGAGATGGCGGGCAGCACAGTTCATGTTTAGAGAGTTAGTTAATCTGTAAGCCACTGCATGCTTCTCACAGGGGAAAAAATGGAAAAGGAACAAACGCAAACCAAATGGACTGAAAAAGCTGGCGTGTGTGCGTGTTCATTAGCATAAGCTGTTTAACTCAGAGTCTCCACGGTCATCCAAAGATTTCCCCCTCGGCCTGGACCAGTACCTGGGGGCCCTGTTCTGTGCTGGGGTCAAACGGGCTCCCCACCACCCTCCTCTTAGCCCGCTCCACGCTCCGGCGCACAAACTCCTCATAGATGGGCTCCTCCACGTAGATGCGGGAGCCTGCGGTGCAGCACTGGCCGTTGTTGAAGAAGACGCCCTGGTGAGCCTGCTCCACGGCCACGTCCACTGAGGAGAGTGAGAAGGTGCAAGCTGTAGCTCCCAAAGTTTGACTCTGTTCTTCAGGAACTGAACAACTGCTCCTCACGAGAGTCCGCATATTACATAATTACAACATTTTTAAGATATTACAACAGTTAATTGATTAAGGCCTCAAAGTACATGGCTGTGTGATGGTGGATAGCAGAGCAAGTGGTAACTTACTACATCATGAACTGGGTTTGTCTGTCACAACATTTGTCAAGGTGTGGATCAATGATTGTTTAATCCTTCTTTTTTATGGCTTTCTGAACCTTTTCTTGTCAATTTTATATCTAACATGAGATGTGGGCCTCATTACCAGCATGCAGCAGGCTAAATGACCAGAGTCATTTATGGAGCTCAGTGTTAGAAACCAGCAGAAGTTAGAGGCTAGACCAGTGTAGAGGGTTCAGAGGCACCCAGACTGGTGTTTTTGCATACAGTTGATATGTTTCCTACAGTGAACTTGTTAGCATTTCATAAACTATATTTCTTTTTTGTGCACAAACACTGGCACTTACAGTCAGCATCAGCAAAAATGATGTTGGGGTTCTTCCCTCCAAGTTCCAGCGTCACTCTCTTCAGATTACTTCTCCCAGCTGCCTCCTGGATCAGCTTCCCAACCTGGGGAGGAAGTATGACTTGTTTGGCCTGGATACTCTGAGCCTGGCAGCTCAGGAGGTAATTCGGGACTATTCTGGATGGAACAGCTCAGCAGAATGGGCAGACAGCTAGCAGCCTGAGCAAACACTCCAAAGGCCAGAAAGGACCAGATGTGAAAATGTGGAACATCTATTACGTGTTTAAGGGAGTAAAGAGGAAGTCATATTCCACATCACTACATACCCTACACGAAGAGATGTTTGGGGCAGCTAAATGAAGCATAGCATGTATCATGGATGAATGGAGGCATTTTGCTTTCTAAAAGTCTGAATTGAGAAAAGGTAGAGTGGAAAAGCAGGGTCTTCCCTGCCGTAACCTCTACCTTGAGTGCCTGGATGCTGGAATGGCTGTCCTTCATGATAATGAGAAATGGCATTAATGTCACTTTAGGGATGAAAAGGAGAATGTTTGGGTGGTGTTTCTCCAGCATCTCCATCCTCTAGTGTCCAATAACAGTGAGAACGCATATACTTGCCATGTAAACCATTTTCTTCTGATTGAACCAGGATTTTCTGTCTTGCTCCATAAACAACAGAGGGCTAAATATGACTCACTGTCTATGTATTTGCATGCGCTTGCTGGGTAGACTGCTCTGCACATAATTGGCTCCATATTACAGTATGGCAGAATTAATGGTGGGGGGCCTTCTAACCTGCTGACGGTTACTTTCAGACAGGGTGACTGTTTTATATTGAGTGGCTCAGCAGATGGAAGTATCACAAGAACTTTGTTTCAACTTGTTCTGTTTGCATCCCTTAACCAGGAACCTCCAGATTCTTACCAGAATTCTTTGCCCTTCCTAACCCTGGCGGTGGGCTAGACGACGTTAACCATCTTACAGACTGGAGTTGCACACTGCCAGCGGATCTTAGGGTGGAAAACCACTATGAATTGTGGTGTGCTTTGTAAAACAAAATTTTGGTCCCAAAAAAGAGGACATGTCTGGTGAAAAAGGGACCTATGGTCACCCTAGAGAAGAATGTTGCTCTTCGTAGGTTGCACCAAATTTGCTGCTGAAAAGAATGCTTGACAGTACCGTGGAAGAACCACAAAGCTGTGACGACAGGTTTGTGTTTACAGTGTTTTAGCTGTTATAATTAATCTGCAATCTGTTATGTCTACAAATTCTTAAGTGTTGTAGAAAGCACATTCAGTATCGGTCAGCCTGCAGAAGCTCTGCTCCATGTCTGCCCAACAATGAACGTAAACATGTCCTCAGCTGCTGGAGTGAAGACAGGAATGCTTGCCGCTCCAGGTTCATTGTAAACACCATGGCACAGACACACGCGTGAAGGATTTCACAAGATGTGGAAAACATGCGTGTTATATAAGTATATGAAGCTTATTCTCTTTGTTTTATTGCATGGAATTTCTGTGACTAACTGCAAGATTTTGCCAGCTAGCGTAAACGCTCTAGCTTATGCTGACATTTAATGCTTACCAGCTTTTTGACCTCAAGGCCAATAACATGGTCTCCCCTTAATTATGGGATTGAAAAAAAATGCAAAGCGGTTGCCATGATCCGGCAGGTGGAGTGACGGCCAGTTGTACAGAGTGTACCAGCAGAGCAGGAGAGCGGGTAGAGGAGGGGTTGCTCTAACATGAGGTATTGGGGTGGGCCTGAAGCTGATGTGATGTCTCTCTGCTTGGCGGGGGGGCACAGAAGCTTTAAGAAGCCTCATATTCGTTTCAAAAAGACTCCTACAGGGCTTCTGGTCTAATTCCCCTCACTCCATTTTTTGTGTACCCTTTATTTGAAACAGTTCATCAAGTAAAGACGAGTTTGGGAAAATGTTCCAGAACCTTCTGTGGATAGAGCCTGCAAACGAGACATGTTGCAATGCGGAGTACCAGAGTTATTTTGTATTTCACTTATTTTGTAAGTCTATATGATGTATACATGTTTCTTTGCTTTTTCACTATTAGATGAGCACCATGAGATCTTTTTCAGGCAAAAAGTTACCTTTGTGGATCCTGTAAACGCTACTTTGTCTATGCCCATGTGGGAGGCAATGGAGGCGCCGGCTGTTGGCCCAAATCCTGGCAAAATATTGACAACTCCTGGTGGAAACCCAGCCTGTCAAAACAACATGAGAGGAAACAAGCTTCAGAAGAGATCGCAGTGCCAAGCTAAACGGGAGACAGAGAGCGGTTTTGGAGCCCGGCCCTTCATCCTCAAGATGAGGAGAGAGGAAGGGGAGGAGGAGCAGAGAACCAGCGGGGGGGGTGTTACCTCATGGATGAGAGCTCCCAAGTAGAGGCAGCTGAGTGGGGTTTGCTCAGCAGGCTTGATGACCACAGTGTTCCCACAGCAGAGTGCGGGGGCCAGCTTCCAGGCACTCATCAGCAGGGGGAAGTTCCACTGTTGATGGAGGGGGGCATTGGTCACTGGGCACTGGCACAGCTCTCACACGCTTCCTCACATATGCCTGACGCCTTGCTCTCATGTGCTCACACGCTCCCCTCAAACTGGCCCTCCTCACTCACGCCCGACGCTTCGCTCTCGTGTGCTCGCACGTTCCCCTCAAACTGGCCCTCGCCTCCTCACTCACGCCCGACGCTTCGCTCTCGTGTGCTCGCACGTTCCCCTCAAACTGGCCCTCGCCTCCTCACTCACGCCCGACGCTTCGCTCTCTTGTGCTCGCACGTTCCCCTCAGACTGGCCCTTGCCTCCTCACTCATGCTCGATGCCTCGCTCTCGTGTGCTCGCACCTTCCCCTCAGACTGGCCCTTGCCTCCTCACTCATGCCCGATGCCTCGCTCTCGTGTGCTCGCACGTTCCCCTCAGACTGGCCCTCGCCTGCTCACACATGCCTGACGCCTCACTCTCGTGTGATCACACGCTCCCCTGAAACTGGCCCTCGCCTCCTCACTCATGCCCGATGCCTCGCTCTTGTGTGCTCACACGCTCCCCTCGAACCCACCCTCATTCCTCACTCCCGGCCTGAGATTCTCTCTGCTGGCTTAGCACAGAGTCACGGCCTTGCTGGTAAGGCTGCTGCATAGTTACCTTTCATTCCAGAGCGTAGTTACACTGTTGCACTACCTGAGAAGCCCGTATCCCTTCTTCTCTTAAACAGATGCTCAGCCTCCAGAGTGGCTTCGCCACTGAACACTCATTTAGCAAGTTTGCTTCACTCAGCACTCCTTTCCCTCATGGTCTCTGTCACACTTGCGATCACACTCGCAGAGGCTCAGCCTGAGGTACACACTTACAAAGCACATATGCCGTAGCACTCAGTCATATTTAAAGAACCATTCTGCTGGCATATCTGGTACAGAAGTTCCTTCTTGACCTTTTGCGCAGCTTATTGTTAGTGTGGCAGAAATAGTATATTTCTCTACTGTCTGTCCCTCAGAGGTGAGAAGTGAATTCTGGCTTCACCAATAACTGATCTTTCTAAACGCTCATCCTCTAAATTCTAAAAGGAATCAGCTCCCATAGTGTAGACCGGTGCCATAGAGGGGACCGGTGCCATAGAGGGGACCGGTGCCATAGTGGGGACCGGTGCCATAGAGTAGACCGGTGCCATAGTGGGGACCGGTGCCATAGAGGGGACCGGTGCCATAGTGGGGACCGGTGCCATAGTGTACCTAACTCTTACACCTGGAGGTCCAGGTCCACCGAGGAAATCTGAAGCCCCTGGGCCTGTTCCTCATGTTAGCCTGTTTTTGTGTGTGTGGGATCGAAGTTGACTTACTGGGATAATCTGTCCACAAACACCGATGGGCTCATTTCTGGTGAATGAAAAATAATCTCCATCTGTGGATGAACAAAGAGGAACACCATTGTTTTTGGTGGTCCGGTTGGGCTTGGCACCACATGAAAAGGAAGTGGGGAGAATCCAAGTTAACAGCGGAACAGTGCAACACCGGCTCTGGGGACATCAAAGCTCCTCCATACTGTTTGCTCAAACTTACTCTTCTCCCTTCTCTGTCTGCAATGAAGAAACAAATATAAAAGCAGCCTAGGCCTTTGAAAGCTAATCCTGATTCCAAAACATGAAAAACAAGAGTTTGCATCGATGGAAAACAAACACAGGTGACTGAGGAATAATTCAGTAAAAACAGAAGAAAGCAGGAACGGTCCCCTCCAAGTGGGCTGCAGCCAGGGCCATTCCTCACGCATGACGAAAGTAGCGGGAGAGGCGGACAGCACAGGCCCCAGCTGACTTAACAAATACTCAGTAAGGTGGAGCTCCGAGGCTGGGTCACATTCAAGGGCAGCACCACTCCGCATCTACTCTGGTGGTCAGACAGAAACCCCGCTGACGTTCTCCCATCCTTACCAAGTGGTGGGACTATTACGGTACGTGTAGGAGACAAATCGAGCAAACAATCGCAAGATGTGACAAAGATGGCGAAGGGGGGGTTGGGCCCCCCAAGACTGCTCCGCTAGGCACAATGGTTTCTGTCCACCACCCACCTACAGCATTTCAGCTTATTTTACGGACACGCAACAGGAATAAATGGTCCCATCCTATAATATTCAATACATTCAGCTAAACACCCATCTGTTCCGCAAGCACCAATCAGAAGCTGTGTTGTGACATCACAGATTGCATCACTTCCGACTTGCTGAGAATTCCTTTAAACTAGCCAAGCTGCTCAGGACCTCCCCACCCCCACCTTCTTTGTCTGCACTTCTTTGGTGGGGGGCCCCAACAGGAGGGTAGCCATTCGCACTCAGATTTATTACCAGTTTGGGAGCACGTCTGTTTACTTACTCATCACATCTTCTGCATTCTTCCCTAAGAATGACCCCAAATTTCTCCCCCCCCATACCCCTTTTTGATCTTAAAGGGCATCTCTGCTCCACTCTCACCATAAAGTAAAAGCATGGACTAACCTCGGATGACACCAACCATTGTTAGTTACCACCTAAATAATCGACTGATCCCGCGATGAGTGAAGCGCGTTAAACGTACCCATGGGAATGGTTTGGCCGTGGATCTTGTCCGCCCATCCAGCGAAGTATCGTAGAGTTTTAATTGTGCCCTGAAGGTCCACATAGAAAGTAGAGAGAAAAGGCTTCCCACTGTCCAGCGACTCCAGTGTCTGTTAGGGGTGGGGGGTGTAAATGAGCAGTGGTTAAGAAATATGCAAGCTGTAAAAAGACTTGAAGCGTCTTGGTTACACAGGGAAAGACGGATGCTTTGGAGGTATCAGAAACATCTGGATCTCTGCAGACTCTCACAGGTCTAATTCAACATTGCTGGAGCACCGGTGTGTTTATACCTTGTCAAGAAGGAAATATAATCCTCTGACAGTGCTGTGGTGGACTGTCCACCTCAGATCTTCATCTGTTCTTCAGAACTTTTCCTTACTACACTGTTTATTGGCTGCCTTGTTGCAGGTAAATTCACATATTCTGGGTCAAGAAATGCAGATCTCTTTCATCGGTCAAGAATATTTTCAGTTGGCTCTAAAATGCATATCATCCTGCTTTTGTTTTTAACTGTCTCTCCTCAGCCCCAGATTGTATTAAAAGCATGTGCATGTGTCTTCAGGAACGGGATGAAAGGGTTTCATGCAACACCAACCTTGCTACAATCTCCTTTTATATTTCCCGTACACCAGCTGTCATTAGCACTGGGAGCATGTGTGTTAAACTCAGCCTTTCCCATTAAAAAACCATTTACACTACAAACTGAGCCCAGCCACCTGGGCACGTGGGAGAGAAGCAGCTTTACTGAGGATAGTAGGGCAGAAAAGTGTCACTTTTAGCGGCTAAATGATCTACAGATGGACAAATAGCACTTTTCAGTCTTTGCAAGGAGCTAAAGTGTCCCTGAAAGAACATGAAGAGATTATTGTGAGCTTTTAAGGCACATTGTAGGGCTGTGGAAATAACATTTAACAGTTTTTACACATTGATGAGTAATTGTATCTAAATGAACACACTGTTAAATGACTTTAACAGACTGAGTAACGTAACAGACTGTAACAATGACCTTCTACTGCATCTTGTGGCGATTAAGCAAGAGGAATTTAGAGGAAAAGAGGATTTGTGAGTGTGTGGCAATGCTTACGGCGAGATAAGTGCTGTCCCTCTCGACCAGGTCCGCTAGTTTGGACAGCAGCCTCCCACGCTCGGAAGCATCCATTTTTCGCCACACGGAGCCCAGTGAGAACGCCAGGCGGGCGGCCTGGACCGCCTTGTCCACGTCGGCCTGTGGGGAGTCTCTGTTAGATTTCTACAAGGTTAACTTTGCTTTACTGGAAATCAGATGAGCTTCCATGCCCCTGCAGCTGTAGAGAGTTGCCAGAACATTCTCTGTTTATATCACCCATATCAGTGTTCTTATCTGCTATCGGCATGCTGGACTGTGAAGGTGAGGGAAGTCATTTTTTTTCCTTGCCTGATTTTAGGGGAGAGGCTGCAGGAAGCCATGCACAGGATGAACAGGTTAAAGGATGCTTACAGACATAAAGATGTTACCTTGTCAGCCTCTTGAACTTCACAGATCATCTCTCCGTTAGCAGGGTTGTATACAGGAAACACCTTTCCGCTTACTGAGGCTTGCCACTCGTTATTTATGAATATCTGCAGAAAGAGTTTAAATAAAATACTTCTGATATCCCTGAAATATAGTGCGCACCAGTCAGAATGTCATGTCATGTCATGTGCTCTGTAAACTGATCTAATCCAGAGCTCAGAACTTTACACGTAATGTGTTTACCAGCTGCATGCTTACTGAAGCGATTCAGGCTAATTATCCGGCACAAGAGTCTGACAGCAGCGTCTCCTCTTCCGCTTACAAGTGCAGCTTTACGAAAAATCTGGTCATTTTGTAAGATGTATGAATGAAAAGTAAAATATGACACTTGGTTCTTCTGTTTGGTCACATTTCTTGTTTTTATTCTTTAGCTTTATTTCAGAGCCTTTCATTATGGAGAACTGGCACCTTCAAGGGGAATGAAAGTGGGTGGGGGGGGGGGGATTCGGGAGGGAGAATGGAATTTGTTGTGGTGTCTTTGATGTTTTTTTTTAATTGAAACTTTCCCTCCCTCAAAAAAATTAGGTCCAGGCTGAAACATACTAGACAATGAGGCAAATGTGAGCACCAGTAACAGAAAAATATGCAAAACATAAAAGCATAAATGAATGGTCAAAACAATATTGCCCCCCCACCCAAGATAAATGGCTTGAAGATGGATGGATGGATGGATATACTCTTGCCCCCGCCCCCCCCAAGCCATGGTGCCCACTGCCATAGATAACCTCCTTATAGCCGCTCCAAAGGGCTTCATTCCCTTGTTTTACAGTGATGTCAGATCAGAGCTTCCATACATTCCTGTAATAATTTGTATTTCCCACCCACGTCTATAAAACCATTACACTGCATTTATGTTTGCAGCCATCGGCTCACAAACTCTGAGGGACCTGGGACAATTTTCTCCTGCTTTCATTGCAGTCTAAAGCAGTGTGTTCAGGCCGGCTGTTGCTGGACCTCGTTTTCCAGACAAGGACAATTAGCCTGCCGAAACGGATGGACGCTCAAAGGAATCCGCGAGGTGTCCGAGGTGAAGGGGCACAGCCTTACCCTGGGAGACGGGACACTGGGCTTTGGAGTCTTAGCTCAAGCGGCCCAGTAACATCCGGGTGAAGGAGAAATCCCAGGACGATCACCCCACCCCCAGCCGCTCAAACACACGTTTCACAACATCACAACTCGCTTTATGAGTCTGTAAAACACGTGATATATCTGGTCTCTGCAGTCCATCAGAGGCAGCCAAGCGTTTAACAGCCACGGCGGATTCTCAGGTTTACTGTTTGTAGGTTTGGTAACAACAGAGAAAGGGACATAATGAGCGCGTTTCGGTCTTTGTTTGTATACATTGGATATCTGCGTGGGAAAGTTATCGTGTGGCATGACTGAGCCAGTCGTGCAAGAGAGCAGAAGCCCTGCAGTAACTTCTGCCCCACGGCCATCGCCCCCATGTCTCTAGCTCTCCCCCCCCAGACCCTCTAATAGATGAGCTGTTAAAAACACCTCCCTTCACTTTAGCTCCTCGCTTCACGCATTTTGAAGGTGCAGTGAAATCAGGAGTGCTCACTGATAGGCCGATAACAGATCCTTGCTCACCACTGGCTAGCATGGATTATTAATCATCTTGGTTTATGTTCACGGCAAACTGTAAGTACCATTTAATTGGTAGTAAACCTTGGGTGTTTTATTTAAAGTGGGTATAAATTACCAGTGGCTGGGTTGGGATTTGAGGCAGCTCCTTTCCAGTAGCTGCTCTCCTAGCCTGTCTGCTTTATCCTGAGCTGGTCAGCAACATATGAAAAGGTTTAGCTATGCGGTATCAGCCGGTACCACTCTGTAACACATTCCTACCATATTCATACCCTGGCTTAGATTTATGGCTGGCTAATCAATGGTAGACCTTCTGCTTCTGCATTGACAACAAACAGACCCCAATGTTCCTCGTGGATGATCCAACTCACAGCAGCCGCCTTTACTCTCCTTCTGAGTAACCAACATTGTAAAAGTGTTGGTGGCTCCGGCGACCCCAGAAGCCCACTCAAGAGTCAGAAAGCCCCAGAGTATAGAATTAGTTTTTTTTTCTTTTTTTTTCCAGAATTAGTTTTTTAATTTATAGGGTGCGCTGTTGTGGACCACCTTAAATCAGGGGCGGTCCCCTGATGAGCTGGCAGCCGGGGAAGACTGGGAGTGTGGGGAGCTGTGGGCCCGACGTAACCCTGCTCACATGTCTCCCCAAACAAGGGGCACAGTGGATGAGACCGCCATCTAAATCACAGCCAGACAAATACAATCATCAGCCGCCGCTTTGTGCAGCCAACGGGAGCTTTGAGCTTTTGTTTTCCCCCATTGAAGAACTTGATTAAGGGGACAAGCTTGTGTAGTAAATCAATTCTTGAGATTTCTTTTAATATGTTTTTTTTTCTTAATAAAAAAGGAATGGAGCTAAAAGTGCAAAATACCAGAGGTCAAATCCCCCCCCCCCCCCTTTGCCCACCCACCCCCTGAAACTGCAAAACTGCTGTTGTTCCGTTCTTCAAACAGACATAACAGGCCTTTGGCACCATACACAGTAAAAACACTCCTGTCCCACAAGTGTTGCTTTGACCTGCCTCGTACTTGTACACATCCAGGATCCTTCCCTCTGATTTACTCTGTCCCTGCGAGTAAAACTCCGCAGCCTTCACATCTCACCGCGCCGGGGTTATCGGACAAAGCCATGAAGCGCAACAAAGAACAAAGAAGATATGGTTAGTCTGCTTTTGTTTATGGTGTAAAAAGGCTTTGAGGAATTCAGGCGTAGAGATTGATAAACACGCTGCTCATTGGAAATTGCAGATGTGCCAGCTGTGGATATGTCTGCCATATCCTCCTCTAACGCAGAACTTAGCAGCTGAATGCCCTGCAGACAACAGATCCCTCACATGCTACAGACACATACACTGCTGAGGACAAGTTTCAGGTTCCTGGTAAATAAACCCTGTTAGAACTGCCAGACATCTATTTTTCAATGGCAAAAAAAGCCTGAAGAAATGGACAAACATCAGTGTGTAGTGGAAATCTGTCTATCTGCTTATAACACAGCCAGATTTTTCTGCGATTTCTAGACAGTTGTCTGGGATGGTCCTTTCATTGACTGATTCTTCTTTGTGGAACCTGCCTAAATCCAGCCTCAGACGCGCACAGAGAGCCGCTGACAGTTCACTGGTGGAAGGGGTAGTGTAGCCTCTGATAGTTTGGAGCTATAGAACAATAGCTGACACAGTTGTTGTCAGGAACAAATAAAAGCCAAGCAGCGTAGCTCCTTTTTCTCTCTCAGCTACCCAACTCCATTGACATTCATACACCATGATGCATCGCTTATCATGGGTAATAGATGCTTATACCGCTACGTTTAAAGACAAGTGTTTTCTTGAATAAAGGACTTTAGGAAGTCTTCACTTTCACATAGGTCTGATATCTCAAAGTAAAATGTTTTCTTTTTAAGTGCAGCAAACAAAAATGGACTGGAGCACTACAGCGCCACAGACTGGACCAAACCATGTAGTGCAGCTGGAGTCCCAGTGGCCAAAGTGTCTGTCTTCGCGCTCATTTCGTTCTTCAAAAGAAAAGCCCACTTTCAAATGTAGGCCGCAAACAGCTGCAAAACGTCTGACACAAAGAAGAGAAACCAATCAGGCAGAGGTTCTCATACCTTCCGCTTGGAAGCGCTAAGCCGCAGGGCACAGGACAGTATTCTTACTCCCAGGGAGTCACGCTAAAGACGGACGGGGCGAAAGCAGCCCGACGTCATTCACTGCCAGACGGAATCATCAGAGATGCTTATTTACTCTGTTCCCCAATAATAAAGGGCAGCAGATCTCCTCTTGCGAGGGTGACTGTTTGTTTATCTGCGTGGCGTAGGGGGAGACGTTTCTGGGGAAGTCTATCCAAGCATGTCTTTTTGTTTGTATACCCAAAGTAATTAGTTTGTGCATTGAGGCTTTCTATGGAGTAAGACATCTAAAATGATAGTATGGCTGAGTAAAGCAGAGTAATGTGTATGTTCCTGAATGTACCTGAACATGCTCAGGCTTCATCAAGCCTGTGCTGCATCACAGTATAGGCTGCCGCAGCCCCATACTATATGTATATATGGACAGTTTGTTGCTTATATGTTTACAAAGGCTTTGTTCATTCAGAACTACAGTACAGGAGGCAGAATGAATAATGCAATCTAGGGCATTTTCCAAACATTAGGGAGATTCTTAGTGCCATTTGCATGCTGAGTTGTTCTGCAGTCACTGTTTTTCTTGGTTCTGGGTGTCGTAGGTCAGTGTTAAAAGCGTCTTACCCTGGGTGCTTTTTGACCTGTTGCTGCAGAACCCTAGTTTGTAGCTGGGAAACTCTGGATAGGATCAGCAGCTTGCAAACCAGAGTAGTAATACTGGTCAAACTGGTAAGAATAGCTGGTCTGGAGCACAACGTTTGAGACTCTCAATCTGCAGGTTTTCTTCTGAAATGATATTTCAAATTTTAGATTCTGGGGATACCCCTAGAGACCCTGTTAGTAATGGCCGTAACACTGACTGGTGTTAAATGGAAGACAGGGGTTTAATGGTGCCCTATCTGTGCTTTCCAGTTCCTCCATAACTCTGTCCTGCTATTCCAGGGCGAATCCTGAAGTTGAAATCCTGTTGAATTTTCAGCTGGTTTCCACTGGCTGTTTGGATACGAATGTACTTGCCAATAGTAGGCAGGCTATTGGAAACCACTGGCAGCAATTGAAAATTACAGCCCCAACAGATGGCACAGATGGGACGTATCTTCAGGATGCCAGAATGAGCTAAATGGTCAGGTTCTCACTCACTGTACTTAGGATTTCTAACAATAGAACATCGCAGAAAAAACATGTATATGTTATTTTGTCTCAAAAACACTTGCTTTCCACCCAGCTATCATAAAGTAACTTGTCAGAGCAAACTCGATCGAAGTCTGGAACTCAAAAGCCTAGAAGCTGATGGTTACGCTTGACGTAACATAAAAGTTTTGCACCACGTGGACAGACTGTTAATACTCCCAGATCTCAGGAATTATACCCTACAAACTATCAGGGTTTACAAATCATATTTTTCTCCAACCTTTCTCATGTTCTTCAAGTTGAAAATTAAACCAATTTTGAGTCACAGCCCAAATTCCTTCCAGAGTTGCTGGTCTGGATGACTTCATTCTGCTGTCCAAGCCAGCTTATCAGTAAGTCGGCGGGATCTGGCCCACGGCGCTTGGGTTGAACATTTACCTCAGACTTACTTGCCAGGGCAGCGGGGCAGGGAGGAACCGTGGGCGTGTGATGCGACGCTGGCAGGATTTCCACACGAACACATATCAGTGAAAAAATATTGATCTAACGTCTTTTTCGAACTAAATAGCAAAGCGTCATTGGCGTATATCACCCCGTAACAGCCATTACGGCCTCGTTCTCAGCACCCTCATATGCACACCAGGATTTATTTTTGCAGGCGTTTGGTGTAATAACAAACTGTCACCAAAGACCTCTAAAGTCCAGCCTGGACGAGATAATGCCCACCGACGGCCTGAGAAAGTCTCCGCTTAGGCTCATATTAATTACCTTAAACGCGTGGAACTCAGTGACCCATAGTCGCTCCTCTTCTGTCCCTCTTCTCCACAAAAAGTGAAAAACATCAATAAATAGCCATCAGGAGTGGCTGATTTATGGCTTCCGCGGCACTGCGATCGGCCCGGACCAGGATTCCCTTTGGCTACGGCTGCTCTCTCCTTAGGCCGCTCAAAGCCATTGTTTTTATTACAGGTTCAGTACCCTGGAGCTCCTCGCCCCGAGTGTCGTTTAAGACAAACAGCTGTCCACTTGCTCAAGTGGTGAGGAGAGGAGTTTGGGGCGCCCTGTGCAAAAAGAGATCTACCCCCCAAGCTAATGTAAGCACGGCATCGGCTAGAGATTTTATGGCGAGACTGGTACAGGTGACACTAGACACAGATACTTATATCTTTGCCAATGGAAACAATGATATTCAGATGGCAGCAAATAGGGGGGAAATCGGATCAGTCCCAGTCTTTATAGAAAGAGTGTGACCCACATTTGGCCAATGCAAAATCTGTGTTTCTTAAAATTCTGTCTTTAATATTGTGTTGACAGATAATCCTGCCTATATAAGCTACCTGCTGCAAAAATGAAAGGAATGGAATTCAAGATATCACAATGAATCCATATCAAGTCAATGCAATTGTTGATGAAAACAGGCTTAATCAAAAAAACGAATGGGGCAATCATAGGTAATAATTTAAATTTTCTTTCCCAAAAATATTCCTTAATTATCTGGGATAAATCACTTGTTTATGGAATCCTCAGTTTAAGCAACAGTGAAACTGATTATGTGTTTTCTTTCACACATCTGCCCCTATTATCCAATTTGAGGTCTTGGTCTTCGTCTTTGGTGATTGGTCTTGGTCCTCCTTAATTGATTTACGGTGCCCTGTACCATTGTTCCTGTTTATTCTGCCAGGTGCTAAAGTGCTGACAGTGGGAGCTGGGTGTAAAAAAAAAAGTTTAAGGAATAGTTAAGCCGCCCATAAATTGTCCACCTCCTGCCATACAGACGTAAATGCAGGCCGAGACCCTGGATTAGCCAGATGCCTAAATTCCAGGGGATTCATTCACAAAGTCATCACTGGTGCTCACTCTTGTCATTCATTCTTTTGGAAAAATACCTTGGGTGTAAAGAGGATAGAAGCATGGATGGGAGCAGGAGAGATAATCGACAGTGCATGCAGAGCAAGCCTTTGCAAGGTCTTAGAAAAACTTTTTTTTTTTATGCTTTGGAAACAGGTGCCTCATGTCTGCCCTGTGCAGAAGCGAGGGAAACCCCACAGCGGTGCCCTGTCTGCAGTGGGATGAGTGCTTAGGCCAGTGTCGCCCTCACTGCACAGCACTGACATTCCCATATGCTACTGGTCCCAAAAGCAGCCTGTGGAATTTAAGCTGGGAAAACTGCAAGTGCTGAAGGTCTGCCTGTGGTATCGCACTAAACGCGTGCCCTGTGCAGCACGAAGGGTTCCTTTTTTCACTCTTGAATACCATACTTTGCACCTGTCTGTGCATTATTGTTGAATCCCAAGGTTCCTTTTAAGTTTATTTTGAAGTTTTAATAGTTTTGCAGCCAAGGCGCGTGAGTATGAAAACCACAGCTCACATGCAGCAACTGCAGTTTTTCCAGCTATATTTTTGTGGCTTGATGTTATGCTGTATATTTTTATGACTTGATTTATTCTAACATACATTAACTAGAATAGAGTAAATTATTGTTTTTTTATGACTGATCCGTTCATGTGTTTTAGTCAGTGTCAAAATCTTTATTTATATAAATATTTCCTGGAACACTTGCGGAGACACTATCTTAACTCCAACGGGAAATACTTGCTCCTAATAAAGTGTACTCGTGTGCAGCAGTAGGCAACCGTCAGTAACGGTTGTAGTATGATTTGCAACAAAATACCTCATTACTGTACTGGCGACCACCAAACTGAAGTTTATAAGTTTGCATTTTTAATTTGCTAAGAATTTTCAGCTTCGTTACCTGGCCAAACCCAGCCGGTTCCGCGTTTGCAGCCTATGAACAACATTTTGTGGTGCGTCCGCAGTCCCAGGTTATAAGGCACCTGTACGGCAGGAGCGCGGGGACGCGCCGCTCGCCCCGGCAGCAGCATCACCGCGGGCGGCGCCCTGCACGCTACGCCGCTGGGGCTCTGACGCTTCATGCAAAACCCTTCAACTGTGCGACAGACAGCTACTTACATTTGAAATGGGAGACTATATATATATAATAACTGTCAAAGGCCAACGTGATACCGGTGGCAATTCGCGCAGTTTAATCTTGGATGTAAACCTCAATAAAGAACGACTGCGTTTCGGTGTCATACCAGCCATTTGACAGACACCTGGCTGCAGAATTACGTTTTCATTGGTGTTGTGATTTCTTTCTATGTGTTGTTTCTGTTTATTTGATACTGTTGAATGTGCAAGTGTCAATCCAACTGTATACACAGCGCAGGCAACTTTACTTAATATGAATCGCGGCGATAGTTACACTTTTTATTGTTTTAATGTACTCTTCGTTAAACCACAAAAGTACTAATTGGTGCGTCACAACATATAAGACAGATAACAGAACTGAATAGCATTTTAACGACAGTGGACAAAAAAAATGATCGCATGAAAAACAGCAAAAATATGAATTAAAATAAAGTCGGCAGGAGAGTTAGCGCACAAACCTTGGTGTGTTTGATCTCCGGGTCGGACACCGGCGAAGGTATCAGCTGGAGCGACGCCATCAGCGCCGCCGCGTCCGTCTTCACTTCCCCACGCAGTTCAATTTTACTTGAAGTCATGGCGCCTCCGTCGTGCAGCCTCTTGCAGATGTGTCTGATGTTTTTTTCAGAAGATTTCTGATTAGGATTTTGCAAACCTTCCTGTGTTTATATCCAGGTGTCGGCGCCGGTTCTTTTTTATTGGGCGGCGAGCAGGGCCGTCCTCCACATACAATTAAGATTGAACATCTACATAAAGCACTCCTGCCGACCGTTAGAATTAAGAGCATCCCCCTCCGCCAAAAAGAAAGAGTGAAAATAACAATTGAACACGCCTTGACTATAGCTGAAATAAATATTCTTTATAAAGAGGATGCCTATCATTGCCCGGTTATGTTGCTTATTTTTTACCTGTTACTTCATTTGCTTTTCACTTACTTTGGCAAAAACATGCCTTGCGTTTACATGGTAATCCACTGGAACTTAAAATAAGGGTTAATTCGTGAAAATCTGCCCTATGCTTCATAAAGACGCAAAAATGCAAAATGAAGAAAGAATGAGCAAGAAAGGTTTCAAGTCACTGCTATAAATTGCCGTTACTGAACCGTTAATCGTTTGGCTTTTACGTTCTTTCATTTCGTCACATTCATTATTACTCATAACACAGAGACCCTTTGCTATGGGAGAGTACGCTATGTTTTAAAAGCATGACTAAATCTTTTTAAACTTTTAAATACTATTTTATAGGCCTTAATAATTTCATTATGGTAATTTATGGTAATATTTGTAACATTACTTTAATCCACGTTTTTGTTCTTCCTTCAGAAGATAATTTGTCTTTTGTTCGCCTTACTGAAAAGCCGCTTTTTAGTGTCAGCCTACAGCTTTCCAGTAGAGAAGCGACGCTGGAACGTCGGGCTCAGCATTTCCTACCTTACATCCGGAGGAAAAGACTCCCACGGTGGTTTTTGAGAAATTATAATGTAGCCTGTTTTAAAGAAACACTTCGTTTTTTGTTAACTCTAATTATATGCGGTGTAGCCGGAACCAATTTTAAATGCAGTTAAGTCAGTGAGCATGAATCCTATAGATTAGTGAGCATTTAAAAACAATAGTCTACGTTGAGAGTATATTAACGTTTATTAACTCAGGTTGGGGTTTGTACTGTATTTTCACTCAACTCCACGTGTTCGGTGCCACTCGTCTTATTAATGCAGCGTGGTAATAAACATGTTTACCTTCATGCGTTTTCACATATTATTTAAAAAAATATATGTTTGCGGTTAATTTTCACACAAATTTCTTTGTTAGTTAAGTTGCATTTATTAATATACCCCAGTGCACATTTACAAAACTTTTTAAAAAGTAGTGTAGATATAAAAGTAGTTGTTTTTATATCAGATGGGGAATTTTTAAATATAAGGCAAATGGGTCTTAATTGACTTCTAAGTAACATTTGCGTTTCCCGACAATATGATAAAACTGTATGATTTTTGGTCCATCTTTGGGTTATTACTGAGAGTACCTGTCTCAAACGCGAAGCACATGAAAAGTGCCTGTCTCAGGCGATCGAAGCGTCGGTCTTTGTTTCTACTCCGCGCTCCAGGCTTCATTATCTGTTCTCGGAGCGCCCTCTGTGGGAAGAAAGATGCACTGCATCGTAAAACCCATAAATCCCCGCCAACGCTGCGATATCATAGAAGAGAGATAAGACGCGTCACTCCGCTTACTTATGTATTTATTGCTTATTGCTGATGTTTACACCAAAAGTGTTTAATTCCCCTAAAATACGACGTATCTCTGTTGAAGTTGGGTCCTAGTCTGGAAGGGAATGAGACGAACTGTTTTTTGGTAAAGTGGTTTGTAGGCTTAACATTATTTCAAGCGATAGGCTATATAAAACCGAGTGACGAGATTCCCATTTGGATTGTATGAAAATTATGTTAACGGGTCTTCTTCTTCAGTTCTGTTAAAAAGTAGGTACATCAGTTTATCACATCATTGCGTAATGAGAGAATAAAGACAAATATACCTTAATTCAGTGCTGCCTTTTGTGTGCAATTCGCCTAAAGCGTTGCAGTATCTACGCTTGCTTTTCATAGTACAGGAGCTGGATCTCATACTCTCATCAACATGGCAGAACAACTCGAGGACACATTTTTCAAAAATGCACAAGTATAGTAATGAGGCCAACAAGCAAACAGATTTAGTGTCACACATACGAAAACTAAATATAATATGTTTGAAATGTGCTATTTAAAAATCAAAAGATATACAAATCCATCCATCCGTTTTCCAACAGCCTGTACTGGTGATCCACTACTCTGTTCCGATTTTTGAATTGAACAGATCATTATTGAATTTAGTAGGCCTATGTATTCTTTTAATTTTTTAACATCTAATCCTTCTGTAAGTGAATAATCTTCCTGTGGATGTGCAGCTTAGGGCTGTACCTGTCATCGCAAGGCTGCCAGGCCCCAAACCCGATTGTTCCAAGGACGCTGCTAGATCCTGCTGTCTGATCCACACCTCTACATCACTTTGGACAAAAGCGTCTGCTAAGTGAAAGTAAAACAAACACGGAATAGTTCTATTATTTTAACATTAACATTCCCAAGAAAATAAACGCGCTATCGCACCTCGTCATTATTCACATGAAGGGTCCGGTAGCTGCATGGATTTTTGAATCACCACGGAGCACAAAAGGATGCGTAAAGAAATGCAACCAGGTATTAGAGGTGACCGGGGTGGTTGAAATGCGTGGAGGGAATCTGTCCAGGCAACAGTGTGGGGTTTTGTCTGGCTTCCCCCCAGTAATACGTAATGCACCAGGAAACACACTTCAGGGTTGCAGTCGGTGCAGATGCATCATGCTGAGACACATTAATCAATGTGGATCTATAAAAAACAAAAGTTGCAGTTAAATATGTTCTCCAAGTTGTATTCCAACTGTTAGCAATCTGCCTTTTGAGGAAAAATTTGTTACAGATCAAGTGAATTTACTATTACATTTAAATAAAAATGATTACACCACCAGAGAGAATAATTAATTTCAGGTGCCTTTCCTTCAGCGCCTCCTTCTGGCGACTGTACAGCCGCGGTTCTGCAGAACGTTCTGTCTCCTGTCTGTGCCTTTACACTTCACACAGACATGCTCTTTGTTGTGATGACTGGCCACATCCATCTCGTTGCTGATCACCTTCTTCCTCTTCTACCTTCAGCTTTTCCAGAGCACTGGGATTTATCATAATGTGCCCAAAGTCACACAGCTACCAGAGTGGAGAGAGCCGGAATGCCAAAACTGACAGTATATGGAAAAATTATATATAGAATTTCTCATGAACTGCAAACGTCACTATATTTGACACCATTACAGAAAGGAGATTTTTTTTTGTCTAAACCAGCAGCACCAGAGGACCTCTGTGCTCAGAAATGGTTCACCACAAGGCGAATGTGTATGATCCAAACCACTTTGCATTTCACTGTATTCTCCTTGTGCGCTAAGGAGTTCAGCGGCCCTAAACCTTTCCCGGAACCGGAACCCATACCATAGCGGGGCCACCAGAACCTTAGACCATGGGAAACAAACACGCAAACCTGCAGTCCTCTTTGCTATGAGTTATGCATGTGCCCGTTCACGTCACCATGGTCTGAGTTCCTCACAAGACATTATTTAATAATTGCGATGTTGCATGGGCGCATTGAGGAGCTTAAATATAATACACATCATTTCAATAAACATGAGCCTAAGCATGACACCAAGCTGATTGGCTTAATAACTCAGGTGCTGCACCTTCGACGCACATCACATCCCAAGCGATTCCTTGTACCGAACCTTACTTTCTCCTGTCATCTAACAGTTGTGTCTTGAAAAATAAGCAGCTCAGTAAAAACAAGAGACTCTGAAGAGCAACGCAGCAGGCTGGGCCCCATCACAAAGATCCTGGCAGAACTTCACCTGACATTGGGGTCTCTGTGAGGTGGTGTCATAGATGTCGTGTCATAGACTCCTGTTGCAGGTTTCCATCCTGCCATAGCTTACATAGCAGCTGTCTTTCACGGTGATACTCCGGCGACCTGCTTATGCTTCTCTTGGCTGGTGGCCACTTCCCCTTGTTCAGCTTTGCCTTCACTACAAAAGAATAATCAGAATAATTTATATAAATGTTGGATTGTGTCTCTATTTCAGATGATCCAAAGGAACATTTTTCCAATGAGTCTCATCTTGTGCTCTGCAGTACTGTCTGAGAGTCCTAGGCCGGCAAGAAATATTATGTTTATCTATTTATCAGTATTTTGGCTTAGAAAAAGCACAGTTTTACATTGGATTATGTACAAGTGATGCACAGCAATACAATGAAACGGAACAAAAATGTCTTTTGTTCCTCTGCCAGGGCAGCCAAGCCTCTCCGTATATATCTGTTACAGGCCCCCTCAAGCACCCTTAATTAGCTTCCTGTGGTGTGATTGGCTTGACAGGTTGTGCTTGCGTGTTTTGTTGTTGTTGACGTCATTCTTGCTCTTCTTAGTACCGAATGCTGTCCCCACTCATGCATGTGCCCTTTGTATTGTGTGTGGATCCACCTGCGGTGCACAGACATGCAGTTGGATGAGTTGCTGAGCCTGAGTCGCCTGCAGTGTATGTGTGTGTCCTTCTGCCTGAATATGTGCCGTTTGATGGGGTCCTCCTGCTTGGGACAGGCTCACTCTGACCCTCTATTGCATAAGCATTTAGAATAAGGACGGACTGTTTAAAAATGTATCATTTTACAAATGTTATGCTAAAGAATTGTAATGAACACTGTTATAGAAAAGAGATGGATTTGATAGGACAGGGTGATATAGTATCCATTCTTCTGCTCATCCATCCATCCATCCATCCATCCATTTTCTAATCACTTATTACATGGCATAATGTAATTTATTTAGAAAATAAAATAAAATAAGATAAAGTAAATACAAGTGTATTTCTGGATCCTGTTCATTGTATGGAAGACTGTTAGTCCAATGTGTTGTATATACTCACCAACTAGTACATTACTGCATTCATCAGCTCTCACACTATCACACGTGGTGCACTGTGTTAGCATAAATGTCACTGCAGTCTTAGGAACACATTTAAATACGAATCCCGCAAGACGTACGTGTCCCATAAATACGAATCCCGCAA